CCATAACAAATGTGTGCAGTTCAAACACTAGAATGCGTTTCATAATTTTTATATGTGGCGTAGTGCCTAAGGCATTTGACTGCTAACCAGAAGGCTGGCGGTTCAAACCCACCAGCCACTCCTTAGAAGGAAGACTGGGCAACCTACTTCCGTAGTGATACCACCTCGGAAACCCAAGAAAGGGTCACCATGAGTCGAATCCAAATCTACAGCAGTGAGTTTTTGGTTATATGAAATGTGACCCTGTCTTTCTCTACTACATTATATATTCTATAAGTTTGTCAAGGTTTTAAGTAGCTCTGATCTGAAAATTCACATTCCTTCTCTTCCGCTTTCTTTGAAATAAAATCATAAAACATCGCAAAACAGTACTTAAACTGACTACAGCCAAAACGTAAGACTTTTTTCTCAGCTTCCCAGATTTTTATGGATAGATCTCATTTAGTATAGATCCAAACACACATAAATTAAAAACCAATAAAATGTTTTATGGTTAGCACTGCCCTTGTCTAAAAATGTACCAAACAAACAAACAAAAAAAAGGGAGCTCTGGTGGTGCAGTGTCTAAGGCGTTTGACTGCTAACCAGAAGGCTGGAAGTTCAAACTCACCAACCACTCTTCGGAACGAAGATGGGGCAAATACTTCCGTAGAGATACCACCTCAGAAAACAGTACCTTTTATTTAAAAATAGTTTTAATACCTTTTAAAAATACCAAAGAATGAAAATCATGATAAATTAAGAAAGTACAATACCTGTCGACTAATATTGGCAGGAGTGAACTGGTTAAGAATAGGTTGCAAGCCTGTAGCATCAGCAGCTGTTCGATAGTCTAACCGATACTCCATAAAAATAGTAATTGGAGTGAGCTTGTCTCTAAATTCAGATTCATCCTAGAAATGAAAAAGCCTCAAATTAATGATACGAACTTGAACTATCTGGAGAAATGCATGGAGGCACAACACAAAGTCAGCAACAGTTACCCCTGGTCCTTGACATCTACCAACTATCTGTAGTATATCCCTTTCAATCATAATTTTGTAGGGTTTTTCTGCTTCATTTTTTCTTGGTCAATCTTTCAAAAAGTTAATCTACTTCATACTATCTTTTAAACAAAATTAATTTTAGTTCTTATCCCATTTTTTTTCCTTTGGGCTTATTCTGTTGATTCTTTTCTAACCACTTAAGTTATACATTTAGCTCACTAATTTGCAGTCTTTGTTCTTAAAAAAATAAAATGAAATAATTGGCTATGTTTACCTTCACATTCTGCTTCTTTGACATCTTGTACATTTTGATATATGTTATTTTTTTAAAAAATTCTGTTTTAACTAAGTTTCATAATAATTATTTTTAATCTGCAAGTTACTTTAAAGAATACTGCTTAATTCCCAATTTGTCTTTTGTTATTGGTTTCTAAAACTGGATTGTGATCAGAGATCACGTTGTCTATGACACTAATTTTTTAAAATTTGTTTAGACTTCCTTTATGACCTATACATGGTCAATTTTTATATTCTTTAATTGTTGGTTACTTGTAGAGTTCTACAGGAGCTCTGGTGGCATAGTGCCTAAGACATCTGACTGCTAACCAGCAGCTGGCAGTTCAAACCCACTAGCCATTCCTCGGAAGGAAGATCGGGCAATCTACTCATGTAGTGATATTGCCTCAGAAACCCATAGAGGGGTTGCTATGAGAAAGATCCGACTTGACAGCAGCGAGTATTTTTTTTTTTTTTTCCGTAGAGTTCTATATATGTCCATTAAATCAAGCTTGCTAATTATGTGTCTTCAAAATCTTTGATTTCTTAAATCTTTTTAAGAAAATTCCATTCTTTACAGCATAACATGATAAATATTCCTGTCACTGAATTGTACATATAAAAAATGTTGAAATGGCAAAGGTTTGGTTATATACATTTTTACTACATTAAAAAAAAATTCCATCTTTTATCACTTTAAACATTTCCTACAACTTTATATTCTGTAACTGATAACTATAACATCTCCAGCCTCTGCTATTAGGCTCAAGCCTAAAGTCTATTGTTTCTTCTAGTTGCTTGTTTCCTTGTGTTTGGTGCTTTTTTTGTTAATGCATTCATATCTGGTTGAACTTAACCTGTGAAAATTATGGGATCTATACTGGATTGCTCTCTTCCACAGTGGCTTTGCACATGCTCCTGCTGGAGCCAGAGAACTACTCTGTCCTGGGAACCCTTTAGTCTGATTCTAGTAACTTGGTTAATGCAGGAATCTCAGATTCAGAGCCCTGGCTGTCAAAAGGCTACAAGTGCATCCGAACCCACTGCTGGTATCTATATCTACAATTATAGCTCAGCCTCCACTCCTCGCCAATAACCCTGGCTCACACATTTGCTTACAACTGAAATTTAGATTTAGCCACTCGAGTTTTTTCAGTTGATAGATTGTATTTTGGACTCTAGAGATTTCCTTTACTTTCTAGAGGGGCCAGCTATGCTTAAGAAGTATGTTCATCATAATTTATTCAGTAGTGTTGCTGTGGAAAGGCCATTTGGAATCTCTGGACTGCCAGGAATAGAAATCCATTAATTAGATTTGACACTTAAAAAAGCCGTATTTCCTCAAGTGTATTTTTCTGGTTTTTCCTTTTGGTTAAACAACAAAAAATTCAAAGAAAGTGAAAATATTTTAGATTAAAAAGAAAACAAGTACTGAATGAAAAGATAATGGAAACAAAAGCATCTCACCCGCAGATATGCTATCAGCTCCTCACACTGCATCTGACCCCCCCTTGAAATGGTCATGTTCTTGGAGTGACCTGGAGACCTGTTATGGAGAAACAGTGCTCGTCGGATTGCTCCCTTTTGCTTGAGTTTATCCAAAAGAAGCTCCACCTGGAAATCTATGCAAACCAAAGGATACATAAGCAACACATTCTTTACAGACACCTAGATCGCTAGAGTTTTCATGTGAACAAAAACACTAATTCCTTCGGATTTAAAAAAGAACAAAAAAATCTATACATTGTAGTGAAATTACCAACACATTTATTCTGAATAAATATTTGATCATTAACTTCTATCCAACTATCCCCAAAGTAATGCCATATATTACTTCCATACAGTACGCAATTTTGAGAGTAAAACAAATATTAGATATAAATTTTTTTCTTTCAGGCTGAGAAAAAAGTTCAGAACATGAAATAATCTGTGAATTAAGGCTCTACCAATAATGCTTACAGCAACACTATTGCTGCTTATGATTAAAAAATATTTACTCATATGCAACCATACCAATATATTAAACCCTATTTGATGAATGACTAGTTAGCAACATCTGCAACTCTTACTTCCAATGAAGCTTTTTTTGGTATTAAGTTGCCGATGAATCCATTCCAACTCATCAAAATGACAAGCAAATATCTCTCATGAAGCAAGTAATCAAGTGCAGTTTGATGGGAGTAACAGCAGTTGCCACTGAGTCAAACCCAACTCATGGTGACTCCATGTGCCTCAGAATAGGACTGTGTTCCATGGGGTTATCAATGTCTGGGTTTTGGGGAGTAGATCACCAGGGCTTTCTTTTGAGGCACCTCTGAGTATAATCGAACCCCTAACCTTTCAATTAGCTGCCAAGCATGTTAACTGCTTGCAACACCCAGGGACCCCTTAATAGGAAGAGAATCATCTTAAAATGTACAGGCAGCCAATAGTCTGAAGTACATAACTGACAGGACTACTACCTTCACAATATGATCTCTTTAAGTAGTTTCTTCAATGGAGGTGAGAACAGACTATTAAAACCACAGTCTCCTTCCAAGTTTCCCTAAATGTTGAACTTTGCTTCAAATTGGGTTAAAACCTTAGGTTACTCAGTCCTCTTTACTATTTCTCAAACATATGAAATACACTCAGGGCTCTTGAAATCATCATTTCCTCTGTAGAATATTTCTCCAGACATCTTCAGTTCCCTCATTTCCTTTCAGGTCTTTACAGTGTTACCTTCCAGTAAGATCTTACCTAGCTACAACAGGCAGGCTAACTTTCACACACAGACACTAACATTTTAAGTCCTCTTCCCCTGTTTATTAACGTTCCTTAGCATTTGTCATTATCTAACATACTGACAAATATTGGCAACAATTACATATTTTTTATTGTGATTTGGGTGAAGATTTACAGAGCAAATTCACTTTCCATTCAGCAGTTCACATATACTTTGTCTCATGTCACTTGACCACAGTTTACCACAATGCAACAGCTCCCCTCCCACTTCCTCCCAATAGTTACCTCTTCCCAGTGTCCATCCCTCCATACACTCCTGCCCCCTGA